AAAAGCCAAACAAATCAAAAACAAAATAAATACAATGAAAAAATGAAATCCGCAAGACCAAGTGTAAAGAAATTTGAAGTCAATGATTATGTCTGTGTCAAAATTGATAATGTTGATAAAAGTACTGCACTTCATCCCAATGTTCTATTTGGGAAAATAGTTGAAATGGAAAACACATATGCAAGAATAGCAACCAAATTTGGTTTAATAACAACTCTCATTTCCCCCTCAAGATTGACAAAATGCTCAAGCCCAAATATTGTTTTTGAAACTACTAAAGAAATAATGTTTACAGCAGCATGTAAAATGGCAGTGGAACTATAGAAAATAAAACTGCTTTCAAGTTTATATCTGTTGTGTTTTATAGCAAAAGCAAACCATCTTATTTTTTTTTCAAAACCTATCTTCCTTTTTTCTGTTCTTCAATCTGCAAGTACATCTGAACCCTGACCCTAACCCTAACCCTAATCCTAACCCTAACCTAAAACCTTATCCCTAACCCCAAACCTAATCCTTAACTTTAACCCTTAACCCTAACCCTAGATCTAATCCTCTGATTGACTAACTGACAGAATCAGGCTAATTGCAGTGAAGATCTTGCTCTCTCAGATTGTTATATCCTTATCTTGACAAAAGCCGATATCTCTATCAGTGTTTTCAATAAAAAAACAGTTGGTTAACCCATAGCAAGTGAAAAAAATGTTGTGGTGCAAAATTACCCAGGTTAAAAAAATTGTACCTGGTGAAAAATAAAATTTACCAAAGGAAAAAAATTACCAGCAACATATACATAAAGTTAGAATACTAAATAATTATTTTCAATTAAAATGTCATTAGTATTGAAGGTAAGTAACAAATAGTAAACCACGGTCAATAATAATTTAGTTAACCATCAAGTCACATTTTCAGATGCATGTGGAAGCCATAACGCAAGCAAAGGACAATGAGTTGTTGCTTCTTGGACTTGACAAGAAAGGAGACATTCTGAGCTTGAGAAATTTTGTACAAAAATTGTCCAAAGAGTCCTCAAATGACGAGAAAAGATCTAAAAAAATGTCACTGTTACACAAAGTTCTGGAAAATGGTAAACAGAAAAAAAGCCTTAGACAGCAAAAAGATGGGAAAGTGCTACCTAAGATGCAAAAGGTGCAACTAGTATGGGTGCATTTAGATGCCGAGAAGCAGAGTTTTGTTTCTGTGAGAATGGACAAGGGAGGTGGTACACGAGAGGTTGAAATTGAGCTAAATGCAGACAAAGATGACATCATTGGCATTGCCAAATCCATATTTTTCACCGATGGTAACAGTAACTTTGGGCCTGAACAGCTGATGACATTTGGACTGGCCAATTTCCAGCACAAAGACATTTCAACAATAAAACTTTCTGGTGTTCATTTGGCATTTACACTGCAGCGCTATGTAGAGAAATGCAAGATGTGTAGAGTCAGGCTGTACTTGACTTCAAAGATCAACACTTTAGATGATGTGTCCCTTCTAAAACCAGCAGATCACTTAAAACCAGCATCTACCAGTAAACTAGAGAGAAAGGAATCTGGCTTGAATGATGACGAGACCAAGTCACGGACACTGACAAAATTAGAGGAACGGCGGAAAATCATTTCTGAGCAAGATGCTGACTATGAAGAGTCATTGGCTACTGACAAGGCTAAAAGGGAAAAGTTGATGAAAGAGGTAAAATTATGGTCTGTTAAACAATAGTATTCAGAGTGGCCTTCTGCTCATATCCAGAGACAACCTAGTATGTAATAATCATGGTATAGCTCTCCAGGAGCTACGTATTGTTCATTGACTCTCCATCCACTTTGTGTGACATTTCTTCAATGTTTTAACTGAGTTTTCAACCAGGTGGTTTATTAAAACAAAGAAATGGGTTTGTTGTAAAAAATAACTCATTGTATCTAAACATGGAAAAAGGCTTGTTCATCATATCATTCTGTATTTCATTACTTTTTGTTCTTAAACTATGGTTTTCCACAAGGAGGATTGCTTAACTGTTGTACTGTGTTGATTCAGGTACAAGATGTACAGCAACAAAACAAGTTGCAGCAAGCCAGGCTCTTGAGGATACCTCAGGAGCCAAAGCCGGAGTGAAGAAAGTATATCGGTAGCAATTAAAGTTTGCCATGTATCTCTGAGTATTGTGAAGCGCAATTTTCGTGAATCTGATTGCATGGCTTGTGTTTATAACTGGGTGGGCTACTTGAGTATTATTCCTGAACACTTCCAGCTATTAGACTTTGCAGGAAGAATGTTGTTACCTTCACAGCCAGTAAAGCAAGCAAAAAACACTACACTGTACGTGAGTGAGGCTATTTCAACACCACATCTTGAAGATGAAGAAGTAACCTTCTTTGGGTTTGGAATCAATGAATGGGAGCCTCTTGATGAATCTAATTTCTTTTTGGATCCCATAAGTGAAACTGTCCCTGAACAACTTCTGGATGGCGATGAGAGGTAATATGTTATGTCATTTTCAGTGTCTTATGTTGTGAACTTAACTGACAAGAAATTTGACAATCTTATGTTTGCCTCACTGAGGAAAGGTTTGAGGCATAACATTATTTGTTATTTTCTATGTTAACTTGTTACTCTCTACTTATTGCTGGACTTCCAGAGATCCACCCATTTTAATATTATTGATGTCTGGTTTTCTTGGGATTGCAGTTGGTAATAAGCATTTGTGACCAGGGTGAAGGGTTGTTTACACTTGCATTATACATACCGTCGTCGTCGTCATTGGCTCCCCTTCTGTATAGAAGATAGGTGTCCATTTTACATCATTGACTGATGGTGAGTTCTATAATGGCTGTAAAGGCCAATACGAGCCTTGAATTGTCTATCACATTCTGGACAACACAGGCCTGGTGGTAATTCTGTCCGTGGCTGTTCTTGTCTTTCTTTCTTCCTTTCCCTCTTCAGCCTTATGCCTTTTGA